GCCACCGTCACTGCGACCGCTGCCTCGACTATTGTCAAGTGAGTTCCGTACACGTGCCTGCTGGGACACGTGGATGCCTGCGAACCGCAATGCGCGTCGCGTTCGGTTGACCTGCAACGTCCCTGCGACTGTTGCCTTTCCGATTGATTGGGTTTCCGCACGTCCCTGTACTCGATTGGATAGAGTGACGCTTGTCACCTGATCGTCCGGAGGTATTCCGTCTGTTTTAGATGCGCGTCGTCTTCTCATTCTGCTTCGGCTTTCCCTGCACCCGCGTGCTGACCTCGTTCTCTCTCTCTCTCTCTCGATGTATCCGTGCCGTTTGTACTCGTTTGTTGCAGGTTCACCAGAACGGCGAAGGGCAACGTGGCTCTGAATCTTGCAGGGAAGAACATTCTCCTGTGGGCCACCTCCAAGGGCGGCAATTCGAAGGTTTTCAACGACCATACCCCCACCAACAGGTAAGGATGGGACAGGGGACCGCGAGAATGGGGAAGACAACCGACCGTGTCCGTGCCCATGAGAATGGGGAGTGGGCGGGAAGGAGTGAGGCGAGTGAAGGGAAGTGCAAGCTGCTCATTTCATTGTTCCTCCTAATTTGTGATGTTTCCATCTGTTCGCTCCTCTGAGTCGACTCAAAAGTCAGCTTCGTCAGTGCAAAGTGCTCATTTCATTGTTCCTCCTCTTTGGTGCTGTTTCCATCTGCTCGCTTCTTTCAGGGGAGCTGTCTCCATCAACTTCGGCACGTGCAAGTAGTGGTTTGCCATGCGAATATCTAATGGCAGTGCCCTGCAGTCAGTGATTGCATGGCACGAGAGAAGCCACTTATACAACGATTCCATCATAGACTACTAGCATGGCCTCATCACCTGATTCGCGATGGTCTAGGACCGCATGCCCCTACGAAAATTCGTCGAATTAAGAAGTGTTTGTCCATTTATAAGAAATATCACGCTTCCTATTCTTGTGTCGCATTGTGAAACTAGAATGCTGGCTGGAAAGTTGCAATTGGACGACTGGGCGCTTCAATCAACAATAAAAAAGCTCCTTTGTCGTCACTGCTCGTCAACCAGCCTCCTCTTGTTCGTCACAACATCAGGCAGGAAGTGTAATAGCGACCAGAGAGTAGGAAGGAAGTAGACATGGGATCACGTGTTGGCAGAGCGCGGTACACCTCCGCACTTCGAGCATCGCATACCTAGTCGACCCTCCACCGCACTAAAACATTTTTAAACGTTTCATCCCCGTGCTAAAACGCACAGCAACCGTGAATAATGCGAGCCGGAGGGTGTACTATCCCGTGCCTGCATCTCATGTACGATTGCGGTCGAAGCATTTCCAGTGGTTCGCCTTATTGGAACTTGTGCTGCTGTCCACTGTTTTCTAACGAGCGGGAGGCGGGAAAAACACCGATTTCAGAGATTTCGTTGCCCGCAAAACAAAAACGAATGCTGAAAAAAATATGTGGTCACGGTGACGGCCGAAATCTGTCAAATTCGCCAAACTTTTGGATTCACCGACAGAAAGCAAAAGGGAGCGAGACCAAACATTGGTCAGACTCCAGGTAGCCGTCAGTGTCCCTATCCGGACCAGACCCAACAAAACAAGTCACTGTCGGTGTGTACGTAAATTTCCCTGATGGGACTGGCTGGCTGCTGCTGCGGGCAAGAGTCGTCGAATCGCGAATCTCACTCCAAATCAACGGCTCGTTTCGATGTCGCGACGGGCATTTCCCACATTCGACCTTTTTCCCGCCGTGCCGTCAGCGCGCGTCGCCATCGCCAACCAGGCCTCAACAAAATCAGGCGAGCACATTTTCCTCAGCAGCCTAGAGCACCAGCAGACCATCATGTACAGTACCCCTTTCGAAGCTTGGAAATCGCATGTCCAGCCTGCTTACGCTTAGACGCGCACTGACTGCTTACCTTACGCTTATCTTATTTCGAAACGCTCGTGTAGAGATCAGGCCTTCGCGCCCTAGGTGTAGATGCTGATGGTCTAAATCAGTCCGCTCATCGGCTGGAACTAAGAAGAAGGGCAGCTCGGTTGTAAGACAGCTTCCGCGTCACGGAAATCAAACATATAATTTAATTTCCTACACTATCAGATATCGGACTCTAACATACCAAAACCATCTGGACCAATATCGCGATGGCTTTCCGTCAAAGACTGACGTCCGTCAGTTTCCCGGTTAACTCCCTCACCCTCGCATCTAGCGGCTTGGTTCTCCTACTGCTCTTATCGTCCACGTCGACTTCCGTATCAGAACGCGGGCAAGAAAAACTTCACACTGCCCTCGCCCGGGGTTCCGTTCGTTTAGCAGAGGCTAGGAACATACCGGACCAAAGTATCATCAGCCCTCACGCGCTGGAGCGAGGGCTGCTGGGTCTTCGTCCCGGGTCACAAGGAGGACAACAGCAGACGCCAGAGCCGTGTGCAAAGTCGACTCTTCCGGGTTTCACGGCGATGATCGCGCTGTCCGAATACGCAGGGTGAGTTATTTCCTTGGCGTCGCGCGAAAATGCTCCCAGAAAACTCTCGACCGATTCGTCCGCATCGGGCGATCGTAGGCCGAACCTCGTCCGAAACTCGTCCGGCCTTGTCCGGACGTTTGTAGACCGAACCTCGTCCGGCCTCGTCCGACCTCGTCCGGGCGTTTGTTGACCGAGCGTCCAACATGGGAAGTCACTTTCATTTTGCGCTACAGTTTACCCCCCCTCTCGCACCGCTCTCCACCTCGCAGACCGTTGGTTCCTCTTGCAGTTCGTGGTATACCACTGTCCGTTCCTCCCGAAAACTTTCTCCCTTCTCTTCCTTGCCAGGCTCTCTTTCTACATTTGCTTTCAAGTCACAATCCGTCAAAATTTGCCACAATCCATCAAAATCCTTGCCGTTTTCTACGCTTCCTCTCCTACTCCATCGCTTTTCTTCGTCACTTCACATCGTCTTCCCCTCTCCCTTTCTCCCCCCCCCTTCTCTCTCTCCCACCGTCCACTGGTCATCTGGACGCCTTTGCAGACTGTACTTCCACTTCAAAGTGCAGGGCTCCACACTTAACGGAGCATTAGAAGCGAGGACCGTTGCTGATGGAGGGGCGAGCAAGGGCTGGTTCGCTATAGGCTTCTCCAAGACTGGCAAAATGGCGGGCTCCGATGTAGTCCTTGGGAATTACATTCCCTCCACTGGCAAGAAGCTTCCGTTGGATCCCAAGCCTGGAGGCATCGGCCCCAAGCAGCCACGGCCCATTGCTTACCTAAGTGCGACTGGTACTAAGACCGGAAACAGCAGCAAGGGCGGAAACGGCACCAGGAGTGGCGGGACGAAGAAGGGAAGCGGATCTGGGGACGGGAGCACGAACAGCACGAAAAGCGGTAACTCTGGTAACCGTACCGTGGGCAGCAAGGGCAAGGGCAAGGGCCCGTTGGTGGGAGCGTTCAATATGAAGAGCCTTACGATGGGGACGTACGAAATGGCTAACAATTTCAAGATCGCCAACACCTCCGTTACAGTCACAAAGAGCGGCACTGTGGTGAGGTGAGCCTCTGGGAGTTATGTGTGCTTCATGTCAACTACTCAGCTTGTTTCACGTGAACTCTGGAGGCTTCTCTGCTTCCAACCTCTCTTACCTATCCCAATACTCAATCCCAGACGCTTCAACTACCCTATAAACTACCTGGTGCTGTAAGGCCAGGTTCACAGGGGGTGCGGCCTGGAGCGTGTGCAGGCCTAACTATATATGGGTGCATATTTTTTACTTCCCCAAATTACCAGGTTTACGAGGAGCGGGCCTGGTGGGTCAGTACCAGTGAAGTATGGGGGCATTAACACCTTCATCTGGTCCTACTCCTCCAACGGCGCTACCAGGGTGTTTGGAGGACACATGAGACACAGGTACGAGGCACATACAGGAAAAACCTGTCATGTCGACGTCATTTACATTCGTGTCTTCAGAGGTCCGGTGGTACCTGAGGCGTAGATACTGGATGGATTCTGAGAGTTGGCATACCCCATTTCCTGAATCTTGATACCTTGTCAGCATCACTCCTGGCATCTCTGAGTCTCTTGGTGACATGTTCCCTTGTTGCTTGTGTGTGATGCAGGGGTAGTGCAGTGGTGAACCTGGCATGCAAGGTCTGATCACTGATGCCACTTATACTAGGTAGACGATTGGAGATACAATCTTTACCATATGCATCAGACAAGATACTCACTATTTTCCATACATATTAGGTTGGCCAGTTAGCATGTTAGTTATAGCTAAACTTGGTAATCGCAATCGTCATTTATTTATTCATGAGTCTCACATGAAAATAATTGGTTAGTGGAAAACGTTGAAATGCCCTAAAATGGAGTCTATTTATACCCTACAGATACACTTACGGATACACTTACGCGTCTGGTTTGTGATATTGCACAGAGGAGGGCGAGCCGCAAAAAGGGCGCACGGAAGCTTCTTCCGTACTTCCCGGCTGCCACCCAACTGCCCTTGTCAGTTCGGACCTGACCTTGACCACGCTTGGTCGAGCGCGTGCACAGCACACCGAAATGTGGTTTGGCGCTCCAACAATTCCCAACGACAGATCTCTTTAATCGAGACCGTCAAGTCGGCTCAGGCTGCCTGGTTCGGGTTTAGGCCAGCTGGCCAGGCCAAGCGTCTCGTCAGGGGGCAACTTGATCTGCGGTCGTGCAAGTCAGTTTCTGCAGAACACAGACACAAACCCCTCCTGACGAAATTGTCCCAATCGCCATTCTTTCGTGACATAGACGAAATCTCAACAATGCTTGCTTTCGCGTGCCTCCAGCCCTCTCAGACGAAATCTCACATCCAGCAGAGTGCACGAGGCGCGACGTGCCTCGTATCCACCAGTGAATGCGACACGATCAGACATTGAACTGATCATCAAGCTTCTTCCTCCTCCCCCGAATCTCCATCGTGCAGGGATTCCAATTTCCAGGGTTTGGTACAAATTGCCAAGCAAGCAACTACATTTTCACCCTCGTCAAATTCCTCTCCACGACACCACTCTCTAACAGCAGTCCTACTCCTCCCAGACTTTTCCCTCTGTAAGCTGTCTCCGGCAGCCTAGACTCCGATCAAGATCATCCATATTTTCCCCTCTCAAACATGGCTCGGACACTTCTTGTCTGCATAGCGATCGTCCTCTTCGTCGCACCAACCGTTTTCGCCCGCCTGCATCCCGAAGGCGTCGGCCACCATAAGAGCGGCGGACACCACAAGAGCGGCGGGCACCACAAGAAGCGCGGAGGGAGCGCATCTGGATCAACCAGCAGCACGGCCGTGACGCCACCGAGCGTCACGCCACCGAGCGACACGCCACCGAGCGTCACGCCACCGAGCGTCACGCCACCGAGCGACTCGCCAAAGACCGTCACGCCCAAACCAGGCTGCGGCCCGTCGAATCTAGGATACAAGGCGTCGGTCGATCTCGCAGACGGGTATGTTACCAACACACCTTAGTGGGTGTATCACCAGCATACCAACACACCTTAGTGGGTGTATCACCAGCATACCAACACACCTTAGTGGGTGTATCACCAGCATACCAACACACCTTAGTGGGTGTGTCACCAGCATACCACCACAACTCATACAAACACACTCATCTCGTTTGGTCGGTCGTGCATGCGGGGTGGATACTTCGTCATTCATCACAAATCTCTGAGAATCCATACATCTTCTCACAACTTTCGCATTTCATAAAAGGGCTTCTATGCTGTCTAAGTTCCACATTCTGTTTTTTCTGCCCGCGTGATTTTCTCCAAGCATATTTTCCACTGGACCGTCTCCGCTCAAGCATCTACGCGGCGATTGAGGCGCAACTCAGGAGCGGCGCACACCAGGGCTATCTCTCCCCTGGTTTCATCTAATCTTCTCCTTTTTCCCTTACCGCGTGATATTCCTCAGGCTCATTTTCCACTGGACCGTCTCCGGCTCAAACCTCGACGCGGCTATTGAGGCGCAACCCAGCAGCGGCGCAGACCAGGGCTACCTTTCCGTCGGCTTCCCCTCGAAGGACGGGGCGATGGCCCCTTCGGACGCAGTGGTCGGCATTAACGGGCAACCCGTTACTGCGTACGAGCTGTCCTCGTACAGCGCGTTCTCACCCAGCAAGCTCGCTATCTCGTCGCCCATTGTTGATAACAGCTCCGGGAGCCTTGTTGTGAAATTCTCTCGGCCGGCTGAGGGGGGCGTGAAGTCCCTCGACCTGCAAGGCTCGAACGGCATCATCTGGGCGTTCAGCCCTACACCGTCATTCGGGCCTCACACTGGCCAGTGAGTGCCTTTTAGGGATGCGCGACAGGGCGTTTCTTTCCCCTTTTTTATCGGTCATTTGTTGCTCGACCTGAAAGGCTCGAACGGCGTCATCTGGGTATTCGGCCCTACACCGTCATTCGGGCCTCTCACTGGCCGGTGAGTGCCTTCACGTTACGCCCAAGGGAACCACGGAAGCGTGTCTACTGTGTATTGGACAGTCATGTGTCGCTCAATCCAGGCGGCTACGACGAAAAGAAGAGTTAAGAGTCCTTTGCCGACCGGTCGGTGAGTGTTTTTTGAAAGCCGCGAGGAATTTCTCCCCTCTTTTTTATTTCCCTCCCCACCTTCCCAAATGGAGCTTCAATGTTTTCGTCCATTTCTCTACGTTGTTCCTAACTGTAAAGAGGCACCTGAAACGCACGCTTGCAAGACTTGCTGGCTTTGCATATCAGGTTGGTTGTTCATTCAAAATTAACCGCTTCGTCATTTCTTCCTCTCCCTGTTGCTCCTATCGTGTTGCAGAGGCTCCAAGTCCGTGGATATGTCATGCGGCTTATGAGAATGGTCAGTAGTCCACAAGATTGAATGTAGGTGCCTGCCTCGTGTTACCGTGTAACCATTTGAGGCGTAGGTGGCGCATGTATTCTGTGGGGTAGGTGTTTAGGATGACGATGGGTAGTTCCCATCCAGAGTCATCCCATGGATCCTCGTAGTTATGAGTGGGTTTGAGGAGGAGATTTATGCTCGTTGTATATTGGGTGATTACATGGACATCAACCACATTACTCATTCATATCGATGCTTTTGTGTTGCTTTTGTGGTTCCAACCATACTCGCGATACAGTTCGCTGCTGGTACACCATTATACCTGTTTTAGAACGGCCTTCCACACGGACCAAGTGGCAGCTCCAAAGGCAAGCTGGATGTGCTCCATGCGAGAAGCAGTTGCTGGTTACGCATACCACGTGTTTCCATGTTCTCCCCGCGTTTATCCCCGCGTTTCGCATCGCAATGTGTATAAGTCATATTCCCTGAGAGCACAGGGGGCAAAACGAGAGATTTCCCTTTTAACAAATTCTGGCCGTACGATAGGGTCAATGTGGACTATGGGGTTTTCCCACGAAATGGAGCGTTGTTTTTTGTGTACTGTGCATAGGCGGCTTGGCTGGCGTATGCAGCGACTGAGTAAACAGCGCCACGTCGCAAGCCACTCCACCTGTGTATCAACTCCGCGTTTCAAGCAGGTCTCTAAGGCCGCCATGAATGTGGCGGGTGTTTAGCTAGGAGGGTAGAAAAAGTGTCGAGAGAAAAGAGGTTTGGAGTAGTAAGAGAGAGGCATACAAGGAGGGGTTTGTGCCCTCTACAGAAAGGTTCAGTAACAACCTACCAAGCCTATATAAATTATAACTTAGATAATTTAAACACACCCCCTAGGCTTGGTAGTGTCAAGCCCACACAAACACCCCCACACCCCGTAACTAAGCACCCATGCCCAGCAGCAGCTGAGATGCCGTCGGGACTGGTCCAGTCCCACGGCCCGGGAGACGGCTATGGCGGCAGCGGCGGCAGTGACGAGAGCAGGGTCGGCGACGGCGTGCGGCGGCAGCAGGCCAGCGGCAACAGCGGCGTCGGCGGCGGCGGCTTCAATCGTCAGAGGTTACTGCAGCGGCCCCCGCCCTCTTGGCGGCATGGCCGGGCTCCTCGGCGACGGGGACGGCCTTCAAGAGGCAATCGTCGACTGTGGCAAGAAGGGGGAACGGAAGGGAAGGAAAGGGGGGGGGGGGGGGGGGGGGGGGGAGCGGGGCGTAGTCCAGAATCACGCCGACGGCTGCAGAGCGGGCGGCAGGTCCGGCGGCACCACTGACGATGCGCGGCCGGCTGTCGCCCGACGACGCCGCCACGGCAGCCAAAAGACGCCGCCACAGCGCGACGTCGACGCCGCGGCGGCGAGGCGGAGGTGCGGCAGTAGCACGACTAAGCCGCTGCGGCATCTCGGAGAGGCCGCCACGGCGGTAGTAAAACTAAAGGCCGCCATCGGCGGCACGGAACGAAGACAGCCGAAAAACAAGTACGCGGCGGAAGCGTGGGGAGCAGGCCCGTAAACGGACACCTGCTCTGAAACCATGTCAAAGAGCTAGTACTAGGCTAGGAGGTAGTGAAGGCCGCCATGAATGTGGCGGGGGTTTAGCTAGGAGGGTAGGAAATGTGTCGAGATAAAAGAGGTTTGGAGTAGTAAGAGAGAGGCATACAAGGAGGGGTTTGGAGTAACATCGATCGAGGCTTCGTTGGTTCGCCGAACCCAGTTTGCGAAACGTGACGTCAGCATGCGAAAACGTCTCGTCGGTTCGGTTTCCCCAAACCAATTGCCCCCAAATCGCGTGCTCCTTCTCATGCCAAACCCGAAGCGCGGCCATCAGCCGCCCAGAGCTGCCAGGCAAACTACGTGCCACACCTCATACTGCAAAATCGTGGTATGAGGCAGGCCAAGATTGGCATGCCTCTTGGCTGGGCAGGTTTACGAAACCCCAAAAAAAACCGCAGCCACTTCCCCTTCAATCCTACCCGTCGATTTGCGCAATTGCGCCAGCTCATACCCATCCAATCGGTCAAATTTTGAAATGTAAAAAAAAGGGGCAGTTTTGACAAAATTGTGTGAATCTCATTTTCTCCGCTAGATTTTCCACGAAAGTGCGATGGGCTAAAAGGGCTTTTGATGGGCCCCACTCTCACTGTCCACGAGTTTGTCTTATCCAGTCCTGCAGTCGTGACCGACGTAATCATGAGCCGGCGACGTTATGATTACCAAAGTACAGGGGCACACAAAAAAATTTACGTAGCTTTGGCTGCGCAGATTCCATGCGCGCGGGATTTGGTCGCCCGTTCCCCTCCCTGTTCCTCTCGGAAAATTGCCAGCGAACGGCCCCCTTCTATACTTCTCAAAGAAGGAAACTTCTTCCATCCTTCTCGGCTCCCAGGCCGCCCTTGTCAGCTTAGGTCTGCCTGGACCCACATTGGTGGTGGGTGAGCACGTGCGCAGCACATAAAAATGTGGTTTGGCGCTGCTTCCGACAAATCACACCGTCAAATCTCACCAATCACGGCTGTCACATTGGCTCGGACTGCCTGGTTCGGGGATAACCTGCTGGCCAAGCGTCTCGTCAGCGAGCGACTTGTTCTGCGCCTTCAGTCCGAGTCGTGTGTACGGAGCAATGCACAGACCAAAAGTCCCCTGGCGAACTTTTCCTGATTCGCCAGGTGACATTTCTTCGCGGCTTACACGAAGTTTCAACGACCCTCGCCTGCCCTCGCTACGCGCCTCGGCTCAGCTAGTGAGTGCGATTCGTCCAGACATTTGAGTTGAACATTGAGCATCTTTCCCCCAGATCTTCCTGACGCAGCAAGTCAAATGCTTGCCTACAAATTGTCGAGCTAACAACCTCGTTTCACCATTCCTCATCACTGCTCCTCATTTTGCGACCTATATACAGCTCCCATTACAGCTCCTATTGACTGTATCGCCTCCTCCTCACTCCCGTGCGTGAGCCTGTCTCGCACCAAGTAAATATCGGTTGAAACCACTCTCTCCATGGCTCGCACATTCCTCATCTGCCTGGTGATCGCCCTCCTCGTCGCACCATCTGTCTTCGCCCGCACACATTCCGGAGGCGCTGGCCACCATACCCGCAACGGCACGCGCGGAGGGCACCACAAGAGCGGCGGGCACAACAAGAGCAGCGGAGGGAGCGCTTCTGGGCTGACCAGCAGCAAGGGCGTCACGGCAGGAATCAAGGGCAAGGGCGTCACGCAAAAGAAGAGCTGCGTCAAGTCGTCGCTGGGATACAAGGCGGCAACCGAGCTTGGAAAGGGGTATGTCCGCGTCACGGTCGCCATCCATAACATTTTTCCGTCGGTCTTGCATGCACGATGAAACGGTGGTAACACTGAAACACGGATGGAGGAAAGCATCAAAACGGACGATGCACTGTTTTCTTCACGAAACGGACTATGCACATGGCTCGCGTATCATGCATCATGGAAAAACTGTAACGTCTAACAAACGGTTTCGCCTACTCAGCTCCTCCTCTTTCCCTCCCTGCTCACGTGGTGTTCCTCAGGCTGCTTTTCCACTGGACGATCTCCGGCTCGACCCTTAACGGCGCCATCGAGGCGAAATCCACCAGCGGTGCCGACAAGGGCTACCTCTCCGTTGGTTTCCCCTCGAAGGACGGGTTGATGTCTCCCTCCGACGCGGTAGTCGGCATTAAGGGCGGCTCCGTTACAACGTATAAGCTGACCTCGTACACCGCGTACACGTCCAGCAAGCTGACTGTCTCGTCGTCCAGTATTAGTACCATCGCCGGCAGCCTTGTTTTGAAGTTCTCTCGGCCGGCCAAGGGAGGCGTGAAATCCCTCAACCTGGCCGGCAAGAACAGCATCATCTGGGCGTTCAGCAAGAAAACGAAATTCGGAACCCACCTGCCGACCGACCGGTGAGTGCCTCGTGAAAGTCGCGTGGAATATTCCGTCTCACCCTCTTCTCCACCTCCACAATTCGAGCAACACAGTCACGTAGATAAAATGTTTCTGCCCTCAACTCTCCGCTGATTCTGACTGTATTGAGGCGCCTGAAAGCCACGCTTGAGCTTATATTGCCGGTTCCGTAGAGCAGGCTGGGTGACAAATTGTGCATCAGATACCAACCGCTCCAGTAATTTATTCCTCTCCCTTTTCCTTCTGTTTTGCTGCAGCGGCTCCAAGTCCGTGGACCTTTCCTGCGTCTTCTGAGAAGGTTTTTCCAGCATGAGTCTTCGTGCCAAACTAGTTTGTGGTCCACATGTGTGGACGAAGGTGTAGCTAGCGTATGTGTTCACTGTAGGAGAGTTGATTTGGATTGCATGACGATGGGTAGTTCCCATCAGAGCCATTCTACACATCCCCCAAATTGACGCTTTGTCGAGGCTGATATTTCTATGCTGGTTGTGTATCGCGTGATTACATACAAAATTAAGTGTTTCTTCCTCTTGTAGTTCCATCCATACTCGCTATACACTTCGATGCCGGTACACTGTTTTACCCCCGTTTGAAATGACGTGTGCCGACCATGTGGACCAAACGCCAGCTTTGAAGGAGAGAGAGAGCTCGACGTGGACCACGCGAAAAGCAGTCGTTGTATCGGGAGAACACACACACCACGTGTCCACCCATCCCCCAAGGTTTTAGCGGTTCGAAAAGTGCAGAATTTCGGACCAATGTGCGACTCGAATTTCATTCCACTTTTGAGAGAGCAGAAACATGCGCGACCCGATTTCCATTGAACTTGCAGTTGTTGGCCCTGTGGATTCCCGGAGGACGTTCCGTAGTGCGAGCTCAACGACAAGCCCAGCTGCTGGAGTAAGCGGGTGACTGACAGCCAGGGCTTACCTTGGGGTTTTCGTCCACACGGCAGATCCGGGTACCCCTCTATGGAAACGCGGATCTCACGAGTGTACCTTAAAAGTCAGTCGTCAGAAGCCAGGTGGGAATAAAAACAACACGTCAGTTCCGGGTATATTTTTGTAGCGTCCAATTTTCCAGTTTAAAGGCTTTGGGACGTGAGAACGAAATACACGACTCTACTTATGTAAACTCGCTGCTAGCTCTGTGCCACCAGACTTCTGACTCTTTTTAACCGCCATCCAATCTATGGTATTGTTTTGGAGAGGAAGAGAGTTGCCGGGGCGAGGGGGGGGGGTGGTGTGTGGGGGGGTGGGGGATAGGGGGATTTTGTAGCTCTGTGATCCGTTTTGTTCAGGGGCTCACCCGTCAAATCAGGGTACATAGCCATACATAAACCCGCCAGAATCCGGCTTCATGAAAAACGAGCACGTCAGAATCCGGAATCAGTCGGAAAATCACCCGTTATTTTGCCGAAATCCGGGTAGTTTCTCGTGAAAGCTCCTTGCCTCCTTCCTCCTCGTCTAATCACCGACATCTACGCATCCCCTCTCGCCCAATCTGTCAATTTTTCACCAGCACATAGGCGCTCCACACGAAGGGTATAAGTAGTTCAGCCATTCTCGTCATTGTATCCACCAGAGAGCAGCGCGTGCTCCCCACTCACCTATAATCGCCCACCCCTTCCGATCCCGCCACCAACTCTACGCTCGCCACCACGAGCCTTGAATCCCCCATTCCAGCCGTTAGAGGCTCATCAATTCCTCCCTCACTACGAGTCGATTGTCGGACCTTTTCTGTCCCCATCACCATGGCGCGCGCTGTTCTCGGTCTGCTGCTGCTGCTCCTCATCGCCCCATCCGCCGTGCTTGCTCGCAAGCGCGCGTCGCAGTCGTCCGGCTGCGTCAAGTCGACGCTCCCGGGGTACACGTCAGCAGTCGACCTCAACGGCAAAGGGTACGTTCCCTTTTACAGCAAACGACTTGTCGTAGCGCCTAATAGCTGAAGTGCCGCCACACGCCTTCTACTCGAGTAACGATGCCGTCAAATCTCGACAGTTATTTCAAGCAACAATCCCGAGCACCACCCTCCCTCAATATTGTCGGTTGAAGGGCGATTCATTGGACGACCTTTTCACTCCAGCAATTGCGTAATGTCAAGCGGACTGATCCTCATTCTCCCCCCACCTTTCCGTTGCCCGCTGCTTCTCAGACTCATGTTTCACTGGAAGGTCTCAGGATCGACTCTCAGCGCCGCCGTTCAGACAACATCCAACAAGGGCTCAGTCTCCGTCGGCTTCTCTAAGGGCGGCAAGATGTTCCCCGCAGACGTTGTCACTGGCTATAGCGGAGGCGCTGTTAAGGCGTATAAGCTCACTGGCTATTCAGGCGGCACCGCGAGCAAAGTAAAAGCCAGTGGCATTAGCTCAACTACCTTCAAGTGAGTTTTTTTGCGAGAAGTATGCGAAGCATTTCAGCGCGCCAAATCCCTCGAGCGGGTTGAATTTATTCCCCAAGTGAGTCGACTCCTAAGCGTTCCTCGACATGCACCACTATCTTCGTGCGCATGAATCTGTTTGTAATGAGTCTATTTTTGAGTCGACTCAAAAATCGACTCATTACACACTCGACATGCACCACTATCTTCGTGCGCATGAATCTGTTTCTTCGTGCGATGCCCAGAAAGTTCGGACCGGCTAATTTCAGTCACTTACTCTGCTGTCCGATTCGCTTCTGTTCCATGCTTCTGCTGCCTCTGCTTTTAAGTTTGTCTGGCTTCTGTTCCATGCTTGTACGTTCTCCCGTCCCAGCTTGTTTGAACTTCACTCCCGTAGGCTACTTAGAATAATGTTTTGCCGAATCCCTCCCTCATTGCCTCGTCCTATCAAAGGTTTACTCGCTCGGGCAACGACGGAACTGTGCCCATCAACTACGCGGGCTCCAACACTCTCATCTGGGCGTATGGAACTAGCAACAAGAAGCTGACTGACCATGGCAAGAACCGGTATGTGATTGACAAGAAACATTTACTGGTTGTACTGGCGTGTCAAGCTTGTGTCTCTCGCCCCTCATTCACAAACTCCCCTTGTGATGTTTACTCATCTCCCGAAATGTTTTCTTTTACCCCACCCATGATGCATCTGTTCGTTTTTCTTTCCTGCAGTGGTTCCAAGTCTGTTGACTTGACTTGTGTCGGCTAACCAGACGGTGCCACCAGAAAGTGCCATGCTTTGGTGTCTTAGTTAATAGACCTCGTTAGGGTAAGTGCCATGCTTTGAGGATAATTATGTTGTGGGCGAATTGAAGTAGCTAAACCCTCATCAAATTCAGCACGTGTGTTATAACGGTACGTCACCGATAGTCAAAACTGAATGTAGAACGCACCCCATTCGATTTGGGGAGGCAAAATTGAAGGTGGAACGCTCAAACACCATACAGAAGCACGGCTCTCCTCGAAATTTCAGCAATAGCCTTAAACCAATAGTGTACGAGTCTCGGAAAATGCAATCTGCTGAGCGCAACTATTCGGTACACGACAAAAAGATGCTGACGATCGTCCATGCGTTCAAAATCTGGAGGTGCTACCTGACTGGCGCAGACGTGACAGTGCGAACCGGCCATAAATCTCTACAATACCTGCGGGCGCAGCCGAATCCCAACCCGCGGCAGATACGCTGGCTATACTATCTGGCACCGAACGACACATACAAAATCACGTACAAAAAGGGTGCCAACAATATTGCCGACGCCCTCTCCAGACCATCTGCCCGAAAACAAGCGAGACAATCAGGCTTCGAGAAAAGCCACACAATTTACGGGCCTCGGTGTTATGGATGAACAAGCAGAGTAGCGCGGAAATGAATACCGAAGTGTTCAATCACTGAATGACGATACAAGGAATGGCAAGCCAAGTTATAGGAACATCAGAGCTAGTCTAGCTGTGAGATGGGAAGGTTCGGGAAGGAGATTGAAGGGTCTCGAAGTGACGAAGCGAGGCCCGGAGAACTCCCAAAGGTCGAACCAGAAGGTATGGAGAGGCCGAGGCGGTTCCGTCAGAAAGGTCCAGAACAGTCCCGAGGCTTCGGATGTAATCGAGCATACGCGCTAGCAGTACCGCTCGGTAAGGAATGGAAAATTCCTTACACCACCCCCCCTCTTAGCGAAGGTGCTCTATATCAATTACGTGCTTGCGGGCTAAATAATTCGCAAGTATCGAAGGTGACTATATGTCATCCAAGGGGAACCCACGTGTCGTCCTCACTGGTACGATTGGTCCATCGTATCAGAAAGTCAACGTGTCGTCCTTGACCGTCGATACGAATCCTATGGCTCAAAATCTTCGAAGGCTCGATGGTCGTCTCTGCTGGTGGCCGTACATCAGGGACCAATCGCTGTCGAGCGATGTCCGATGTGTCAGATACAAAAGGGCGCAACAATTTCACGTAGAACTTATTGTGAATACGCCAATCGTCAGGTAGGCGTAACTGGGCGGTCACCGGCGTCACCATCTTCATGATCTTGAACGTGCCACAGAAACGTGGTCGTAACTTTGTCAGTAGTGGTAGTCGTAAATTCTTGGTGTCCAAGAGGATTAGTTGCCCTGCTGCCATGGTAATATCTCGTCGATGTAAATCCGCATACCGTCGAGCAGTAGCGTTCGCCTTGCGGATCAGTTCGACAGCTTTGTCTCAGGCAGTCTGTAACTCTTCGACGAACTGCTGCGACCGTGGTACTTGAGTCTCAACGTTGGTAGAGATAGGTACTATCGGGTCCATCCCGTAATTGAGGTAAAACGGGGAGTGATTAGTCGTAGCTGAGGGCGCGTTGTTGTAGGAAAATTCCAACATGGGAAGCGCGTCCTCCCATTTGTTTCGGTCAGAACAGTTTGTCCGAATCAGCTGCTCTATCGTTTGATTTGTGCTCTCTGTCTGACCATCCGTTTGGGGATGATAAGCGGATGAGAATTGCAGGCGCGTGCCGTACCGAGCCCTCATGTCTTGCCAAAATTTCAACGTGAACTTCGGATCGCGATTGCTGATGATTGTTGCTGGTATCCCGTGTACACGAACAACGGTCGAGATGAACAATCGTGCAGTTTCTTCGGCTGTGATGGTTGTACGACATGGTGCGAAATGCGTCATTTTTGTCAATCGGTCGACAACCACAAAAACTGCGTCGTTTTCGCTAGATCCGGCCGGTAGACCTGTGACGAAATCCATCGTCACGTATTGCCATGTGCGTTGAGGTGACTCGAGGGGCTGCAACAGTCCTGTCGGTCGCTGATGTGATGATTTCATTCGCTGGCATATCGGACACGCGGCCACGTAATACTGCACGTCCATCACCATATCTCGCCAGTAATAAAACCGCTGCAACGCCTTCAGAGTTTTATCAACCCCGAAATGTCCCGATAAATTCGAATCGTGGACTTCTTGAATTAGTCATTCGCGAAGTAGACGATAACTTAGGACCCAAATTCGATCTGTCCCGCTGTGTACGTAATAAACGCCTTTCCGCGTAGTGATTTGGAGATGGCCGTCATTTACGAAAAAAGGGTCCGTCTAATACCCGTAGGAAAATAGTCCAATCAGTAGCGGGTTGCTCTGGGCGACTAAAACTGCTGCGAGTTGGGCAGACGGTCTAGAGAGGGGGTCGGCAAAATTGTTGGCGCCCTTTTTGTACGTAATTTTGTACGTGAAGTTAGACTCCAGATAGTCCAGCTAGCGTATCTGCCGCGGGTTGGGATTCGGCTGCGCCCTCAAGTACTGTAGAGATTTATGGTCGGTTCGCACCGTCACATCTGCGCCAGTCAGGTAGCACCTCCAGATTTTGAACGCGTGGACGATCGCCAGCATCTCCTTCTCGTGTACCGGGTAGTTGCGCTCAGCAGATTGCATTTTCCGAGACTCGTACGCGATTGGTTGAAGGCCATTGCCGAAATCTTGCATGAGCACTGCTCCGATGGCGATGTCACTTGCGTCGGTGATGACTTCGAAGGGCCGTTCCGGGACAGCGATGCGAAGCACTAGTGACAACATTAAAAGTTTTTTTAATGCCTCGAATGCAGCTTGCTGCTTCTCCCCCCACTCGTAAGAAGTCCCCTTCTGCAATAGGTCAGTTAGAGGTCCACTTAACCCCGCCATGTTGGGTATAAACCATCTCACGTAATTCACAAAGCCCAGAAATGATTGCAGCTGCTGCAGGTTTGTCGGTGGTTTCCACTCCTGAATAGCCCTGAGTTTTTTTGGGTCTATTTGAATCCCCTCCGTAGAGATCATGTGCCCTAAGAACTCCAGTTCTTGTTTTAAAAACTCGCACGTGGAGCCCTTGGTGATGAGGCGATGCTGCTGTAGCCGCCGAAAAAACGCTTCCAAGTCCTTGAGATGTTGCTCCCGGGTCCTGCTGTAAATCAGGATGTCGTCCAAATATATGATCACGCATTTGTCGAGTAGATTGCGAAACACCCCGTTCATGGTGAGCTGGAACGTCGAGGGGGCGTTCGTTAATCCAAACGGCATCACCGTGTATTCGTAACTCCCTTAGCGAGTACGAAATGCGGTCTTGTGACAGTCGTCAGCGAACACCCGGATTTGATGGTAACCGCCGCGAAGGTCGATCTTCGAAAAGTAGCGAGCTCCGCAAAGGTTGTCAATCAGCTCGTCCGTGAGTGGGATTAGGTTGCGTGATTTAATCGTTACCTGATTAAGGGCACGATAGTCCGTACACATGCGAAGTCAGCCGTCCTACTTTGGAGTGAATAGGATCGGTGTCGCGAACGGGGATGTGCTTGGCCGAATGAACCCTTTTGTCAGCAGGTAGTCCAGCTGGTTCCGTAATTCGTGGAGTTCGGGCTGATTCAGGCGCCATTGGGTTCGTACAGTGGGCTGCGCGCCGGGCTCCAGCTCGATTTTGTGAGCTTGGGGTCGTTCGGATGGCAGTCCTCTTGGCAAATCGGCCGGGAAAATCTCGGGATATTCCCCAATGATTTTTGCCAAGTCATCTGGAACCGACGCGCACAGTTTGTTGATGTAGGTCACCTCGTTCTGCTTTGTCTATTCGGTTGGATGGACGGCGTTTAAATACGCTCCATTCTTGACTGCTAGGTTGAGGCAGACCGATTTGACTAGTGTCGATGTCGTTTCTGCTTCTTGCCACGTGAGTAATTTTAGCTAACCTTTTTCGCAATTCTCATGTCGTCCAATCTATCTGCGGATTGAATCTTCGTAGCCAATCGCGTCCCAACAGCACATCGTAGCCGTCTAGTGTTGTCGCTAGCATCCTTTGGAAGAGTCCCGAGGCTTCGGGTGTAATCGAGCGTACGCGCTAGCAGTACAAGGAATGGAAAATTCCTTACACTCGGGGTGAAATGAATCGTGGAGAACCGTAACAAGGGGTGTGACGAATAAAAATCTTGTCGGCGCGGTTCGTTGTAATAAACCACCATTACGTTGCGAAACGAACCCATTGGTCGGGCGGTTACCTTGGTTCGCCGACACCAGAGGAGTCTCTCTTGCATTTACAAACAAGGGAGGGCATTATCGTGGCGGGGAGTGTCGCCTCCGAGGACGTGTCCCAAGCATAGTTTTCACTGAATACCCTACCCAACCACTTCAGATATATATTTTATCCTTTTGACTCAAAACGCACCTCACCCAACCGCAATCAGACGTACGCTTCAGACACGCCCTCACCACCACACCTCACCACCACCCACCCTTTCAGCGCAAATGCCACAGCGCCTTTCGCTGCTCCGCCTTGGCGCCTGTGTCGGCGCGGTTCCATCCGGTCCAGCTCACCCTATTCTCGTGACAGCCTCGCAGAAATCTAAAATGCATCCGCATTCGCCTCGAGAATTCTTGAAAGTGCACATCTTTCGACCACGATTTCGTCTGACACCTCTTGTCGGCGAAGGACTCCGAGCCATTTAGGCAGTCGGACTGGCTCCGTCGAGACTGTACCAATTCAACAGTGTTGCCTCTTATTTTAAAGAGGTCTTGCGGTGTGTTCCGCGTCCTGCGGCGGTCCTGTTGGCGCCATGGCAAGAGTCCACCCTTCAGCCTCTCGCTTAGCTTCACGTCCACACAAGCAGGGAGCAAGCTCGGCTCGCATGGCGTCCCTTACCCTCCTCGCCTTAGTCATAGTAGCGGGATGTTCCATAGGAGGTCACCCAGGTGTCGTTCTGGTGTCCGCCGCGCCTGTCCCCGTGGCGAAATGCTTCAAGTCGACGCTTCCTGGTTACACCGCTGCAGCCACCCTCGCTAAAAAAGGGTAAGACGACGTGTCTGCTCACAACGTCTCAAGGCTCTTTGTGGCTGAGGGATCCCCAGGTGTCGTTCTGCTGTCCGCCGCGCCTGTCCCCGTGGCGAAATGCTTCAAGCCCACGCTTCCTGGTTACACCGCCGCGGCCACTCTCGCCCGGAAAGGGTAAGACGAAAGCCCAGTCGATACCTTACTCTGAACGATCTGCTAGAGATGATCGGTCTACTAGAACGATAGGTGGTGTTTGAGTCGACTCAAAAATCATCTGCTTGAACGATGAGTAGTTTCCGCCTCTAATTCTCCCTGTTATGTCACCTGTTGCGTCACCTGTTATGTCACCTGTTACGTCACCTGTTATGTCACCTGTTGCGTCACCTGTTATGTCACCTGTTACGTCACCTGTTATGTCACCTGTTGCGTCACCTGTTATGTCACCTGTTGCGTCACCTGTTATGTCACCTGTTGCGTCACCTGTTATGTCACCTGTTGCGTCACCTGTTATGTCACCTGTTGCGTCACCTGTTATGTCACCTGTTATGTCACCTGTTATGTCACCTGTTGCGTCACCTGTTATGTCACCTGTTGCGTCACCTGTTATGTCACCTGTTGCGTCACCTGTTATGTCACCTGTTGCGTCACCTGTTATGTCACCTGTTGCGTCACCTGTTATGTCACCTGTTGCGTCACCTGTTATGTTCCCTCTTACGTCACCTGTTATGTCACCTGTTACGTCACCTGTTATGTCACCTGTTGCGTCACCTGTTATGTCACCTGTTACGTCACCTGTTATGTTCCCTCTTACGTCACCTGTTATGTCACCTGTTACGTCACCTGTTATGTCACCTGTTACGTCACCTGTTATGTTCCCTATCATGTTCCCTGTTTTCCTCCCTTCCCCAACATTAGTATTGTGCTCTACTGGAAGCCCGTCAACCCACCCAGTAGATTTCGCATGGAAGTCTTTCGCAACGAGCTTTCGGGGCTCTCATCATGTGTAACGCTTCTTAAAAAAAACCCTTATTAACCCTACCTTTTCCCATTTTTAGGATTGTGCTCCACTGGAAGACCGTCAACCCGAATACGATAAATTTCGCCGTGGAGGCAAAAGCTGCCAGCAACGCCTACAAGGGCTGGATATCCGTCGGATTCTCCAAGGCGGGCAAGATGACCGGCTCAGATGCGGTGATCGGCAACCTGCCCCGGCCGAACGCGATTGGTCCATACGTCATGACAGGCATTGCGAAGTCCTCGGTGACGAGGACGAAGAAGTTCGCGATCACGAAGACGAGCGTGGTTACCAACGCCAAGGGAACCATCATGAGGTGAGCTCAGTTCAGGTGCTTGGGTTGAGTCGAGCGACCTTTGAATGTGTCATGATTCAAGGCTGTTGCTTCCAGAGCGATTGCAAAGACGAGCGTGGTTACCAACGCCAAGGGAACCATCATGAGGTGAGTTCAGGTGCTCGAGCGGCCTTTGAACATACATAATTCAAGCTTTTCAACCTTGCACTTCTCAGCCTGAAGTCTGGAGGCCAACAGTGCTTCTAGAGCCTAAAGCTTGGCACGTGTCAGCCTGCTTCTCTCATCATTAACATATCTTAATACTCAGCTGCTGCTGTAGTCATGTGCATGTGCTCAGCCGTTTCTAGACACACTAGTGCATGTGCTCTCTCTGTGTGACTGCCAATCCGAGCAGGTTTACCCGCTCTGGCCCTGCGGGTACTGTCCCTGTGAAGTACGCTGGGAGAAACTTCATTCTATGGGCGTATTCCGCCACTGGCAAGTCCAAGGCCCTCGACAACCACTCACCTCTGAACAGGTAATGTTAACATGGATAGCTGCAGCCCTGCTGAAAGTAGCGTAGTACCCTTTGCAGGTTTGGAAAAAGCCTTTTCAGCCCTTGTTTTATTTTTTTGTAGCTGTCGTTGGGATGAGTGTTTTCCTCGAAAACAGTTTTTAGATACCAGCATTTGTTATCTGTACTCAACTCACTCGCACATCTGTACTGATCTCTTGTTTCCAACCTCGTCTTGTCTTGTGTGCAGGGGTGCTGTGGTTGTGAACTTTGGCTGTAAGGTGTAAGAAGACTTGCAGTCCAAGAGATGAGCGAATTCCTGCGAGGTTGCATCAGCATCAGTTCGCGCATTACTATACTGAACTCAAGTGGCACCGCACCGTATCTTGCGAGAATGATTCAGCTTTATCTGATCCAACTTTGCAGGAATACGTCCTTAAAGAAAAACCTGTTGGGAGGTTGGCATCGAGATGCATATTGTGTACTTCTAGGCTCCTACGTATCAATATGTGTCATATCAAGGCTTCCTTGCTACCACCTTGTATAATAGTATACTACGATTAAGTTTGGTGTACAGCACATCGAGAAAAATGAAAACAAATACAAGCCGCTTCACCGAATCCTGGTCCTGCCTTTCGGTCGGTCCCCTCCCCTCCCCTCAGAAAATAAAGCCGAGTCGGACGCGACCATTGCTGCACGTTGCAGTCTTACAGCAGCACGACGGAAATCGAACGCAGCAATGAGCGTTGCAATGCAACGGAACCAGGATGAAAAGAGGAGATCAGTAACAGCCATTCCTGGCAACGTCCGACCTCAACCATTCCTGTATTTCGCCGTGCCACCTCGTAGGCTAAGATAAGCAGCCACTGCCACCGTCCGATCGGACTACTAATTGATCCAACCATTGCGGTGCGACGATGCTGCTGCGTCGCCTCGTTCTCATCGCGACTCTGCTCTTAGTGAGCGCCTCGGCCTCGCCGCTGCTCTCCGCTGCTGCTGCGGCGGCGGGAGGCGCTTCAGCCGCCCTTTCCGCAGGGGGAGGAGCAGCGCCGCCCGTGCGAGGAGCAAAGGCTGTGGGAGTAGCGGCGCTTCCCGCCGTGGCGCAGTGCACGCGGTCGTTCTTGCCGGGATACACGGCGTCAGCCACGCTGGACCCAAGGGGGTAGGTCCAGCTCCCCTCTCTACCCCTCTACCCCACTCTACCCCTGTCTACCGCACTCTACCACTCTCTACCACTCTCTATATCTCCTTTTCGCGAGAATAGCAACGCTTCCCGCCGTGGCGCAGTGCGCGCGGTCGTTCTCGCCGGGATACACGGAGTCAGCCATGCGGACCCAGGGGGTAAGCACAGGTGTGGGAATCGGGTTTTGAGCTGCTTCGAAAGTCGTTTCTTGCGGAGATACACGACGTCAGGTACGCTGGAACCGCTTGTCCAAGGGTTGTACAGTGTACAGCCCATCGTCACAGCAATTTTGGTATCATAGGTTCGTTCAGGCAAACCGACAGTCTTTTAGAGAAACGAAGCTCCCAGTAACGGGCCCACTCTCAAATTCCAATTCCTGCCCCTTTTCCCGCCTTGTTCATCCTTCTTGGGATTGCCATGCCACGTCAGCATTATCCTGCATTGGCAGGTGTACTCCTCGTCGGAAATGGACCTGGCCCTCGAAGTCAGATCCACCAGTAACGCTCACAAGGGCTGGATAGCCGTTGGATTCTCCAAGGCAGGGAAGATGGTCGGCTCAGATGCAGTGGTGGGAAATCTGGCCGGGCGAAGTGGCGTTGGCGCTTACGCATTGGCTGGGGCCAAGCTAGCAGCAGTGAAACCGACCCGAAGGTTCCGTATTTCCAAGATCTCCGTTACAAGCAACTCGCGCGGGACAATAATGAGGTGCGCAGATGGCAGTAAGGTGTCATTTTGTGGCATAGTAACGAGGTGGCTTTTGAGTCGACTCAAATGTCATTTCCAAGACCTCCGTTAAAACGCATGCGGGACTATAATGAGGTGAGCAGATGGCTATAATGGCTTTAGTGGCTTTAACTGCTTAGCTTTGACCATCTGGTTTCTTGAGATAATGACAAACAATTACTGAGCCATCCATTTGGTGCTTGGTTGCCTTCATCTGTTCGCTATACTCGCATCCTACAGGTTCACTCGAACGGGCTACATTGGCGCTGTGCGCCTCAACTACCGAGGCGCAAACACGATCCTCAGGACGCACTCGGCCTCGGGATCGTCCACAATGCTTCTATCCTGCGCTCTCGCTCCTCTCCTCTCGCTCCTCCCCCTCTGCAGGTTCACGCGAACAGGCTACGCTGGTGCGGTCCGTCTCAAGTATCGCGGCTCAAACACGATCCTCTGGGCGCACTCCGCCTCGGGGGCGTCCAAAGCACTCGATTATCACTCACCCAAGAACCGGTGCGACCCCTATGCATGAAATGGCTGGGCTCACCCTCAGCTTTGAGGCGCCTCAAAAGCTGAGCTCACCCTCAGCTTTCTGGTGCTGAAGTGCCCACATCCACATCCACATCCACATCCACATCCACATCCACATCCACTGTGCTTGACTATCACTCACCCAAGAACCGGAGAGCCTTGAGGATTGAGCGAGCCCCCCAGGTGCCGTAAAGGTAGCTTCCTAGTGTTGTACTTTTGAGCCCCCCGTGTGTCTTAGTGCTGTACTTTTGAGCCCCCCCCGTGTGTCTTAGTGCTGTACTTTTGAGCTCCCCATGTGTCCTGGTGTTGTACTTTTGAGCTTCCCACGTGTCCTAGTGTTGTACTTTTGAGCTCCCCATGTGTCCTAGTGTTGTACTTTTGAGCTCCCCATGTGTCCTAGTGCTGTACTTTTGAGCCCCCCATGTGTCCTAGTGCTGTACTTCTGAGCTCCCCATGTGTCTTAGTGCTGTACTTTTGAGCTCCCCATGTGTCCTAGTGTTGTACTTTTGAGCTCCCCATGTGTCCTAGTGTTGTACTTTTGAGCTCCCCATGTGTCCTAGTGTTGTACTTTTGAGCTCCTCATGTGTCCTAGTGCTGTACTTTTGAGCCCCCCATGTGTCCTAGTGTTGTACTTTTGAGCCCCCCATCTGTTAGAGCACAAACTTTTGCTCCTCGGGCAGCTTGAAGAGTTCTTTTCCCTGACCGGCCCTTCCCTCCATGCTCCTTCCCTTTCGTTTTTGCCGTGGCAGTCAGCTTTGGGTGTGAGGTCTAACAGTGGTGAAGATTGAGGCACCTCAAAACCAGTCCACCTACTCACTTTCCCCTGCTCCCCTCGTCCCCCTCTCCATGCTCTAATTTGTCGACATCACACATTCATGCAGCGGTGTGGTGGCAGCCAACTTCGGGTGCAAGGTGTAACAGTGGCGATCAATGAGGCGCCTCAAAACTACTCACTCCCCCCCCCCACCCCCGCCCCTTACCGCTCTCCATGCTCCTGTCCAATTACCGGTATGTCACATCGACGCAGGGGTGCTGTGGCAGTGACCTTCGGCTTGAGTCTACTAAAAAGCAGACTCAAAGAACCCTCTTCCCAGCCCTCCCCAACCCATCCGTCCCACCCCTTCCCGCTCTCCATGCTCCATTCCATGTATGTTACATCTATGCAGGGGTGCAGTGGCAGTGAATTTCGGGTGCAAGGTGTAACAGTGCCTCATGTAACTGCGCACCGCCCATTCTTGTGAAGTAGTCTGAGTATGATGTTGCAGCTTTGGGCCCAACTAGCGGAGGGAGGCTCCATTCGTCAGGTTATCCTTATCAATGCGAGCATCTCAATAACTTAAGGGTATGTGCCAATTGGCACGCCCATACTAAGCCAATCATTCATCGACAAAGAATGAGTACACAGGAAGCAGGGCCTTGCTGAGTTCCTGCTCTAAGCGGCTGTGTTGTGCCTTGTCCGAAGAACCTGGGATAGCAGGGGAGGCTGAAGTGGCCGGGACAGCAGCCGTAGCCGGGACAGCAGCTGTGGCTGAGGTGGCTGGGAGTGTGGGATTTGAGGCACCTTTCAGCGAAAGGCAGGCGAGAGAATCAGGTAGCCCCTTCTCCGAGCACAAACTGTTGGCTGCTGCATCGGCCACATCAGCAGTCACATCAGCAGCCACGTCAGCAGCCACATCAGCAGCCACATCGGCTGATGCATCATCAGACGTGGTAGCTACCACACCATCCAGGTCTTGACTCCTGCTGCTATTATCCCACAGGGCCCGGGCAACAGCCTCTGCCACGTCAGCAGCCACGTCATACGCCAGGTCATACTCGTACTTATCGTCGTTCAGGCAGCCATTCGCATTGGTGTAGAGAGCGAGAGAGAGGAAGAACTCCCTCCCTGTCTCTATGTCGAGGACATAACTGTAGCGGAAGCAAGGAGGGAGGGGGAAGAGTGGGGAGGGGGGGCGAAGGGAGGTTAGGTGGGTATTTATTGTCGTTGAGGCAGCCATTCACAATGGTGTAGAGAGCTAGAGAGAGGAAGAACTCCTTTCCTGTCTCTATGTCGAGGACAACTGGAGCGGAAGCAGGGGCGGGAGGGGGAAGAGGAGGTGGGAGGGGACTGGGAGGGGGGGGTGGTTGTAGGTGGGGTACCAGTTTGAAGCATATTGATCGACGATTGGTGTAGAGAGCTAGAGAGAGGAAGAACTCCCTCCCTGTCTCTATGTTGAGAACACAACTGGGGCGGAAGGAAGGGAGGGAGGGGATCAGGATGGTTGGGAAAGGGGGAGGGGGGTCTTTCAGGCAGTCATTGGTATTGGTGTAGAGAGCTAGAGAGAGGACGACATCCCTCCCTGTATCTATGTCGAGAATATAACTGGAACGAAAGCAAGGGGGTGGGGGGGAAGGGAGGGGTAGGTGTGGGGTACTTCATGGTATCACTGGCATATTTGTCCCCATGGTGTAGATAACAAAGGCGAGAAATGACTTTTCCTCCCCCGCCTGTCGCTATTTCAAAATATAGAAAGAGGGAGGGAAGTGTTTGATTTTGCAGGGTGTGTGTGTGCCCTGGCATATTTTGCTATTCTCAAAAACACCCAATAAAAAATATAGAAAGAGGGAGGGAAGTGTGTGGGGAAGGGCGGGGATATGAAATGGACACATATAGTGGAACTCACTTACACCAAGGAGAGCAAAGGGGACTGTGGAAAGCCAAGGTACTGTAGAGAGGCAAGGGACTGTTGAGAGGTAAGGGATGGTAGAGAGCTAAGGGACTCACGAGTTGTCAATAGTGAAACCAAACGCCTGCCCGATCTTGTTGAAAACACGGAGAGCTTCCTTATACCGCACCCGGCACAATCCGGGCAGAAAGAACTGCAGGCGAGGAGAGCCGGATAAAAAAAATCCAGAAGGAAAAGGGAGAAGGAACATCCAGCTTTGCATTTCTCAGGGGAATTTCCCTGCCTTTACACTGTTGGGAAACTGTGCAAGAAAATTCAGAGCTTCGTTACAAGTTGCAATAACAATCAGCAGCAGTACACTCACACACACCTTGCAATAATCATCAGTATACTCCTTGCCCGCATATTTAGGACTGCGGGACTCTCTAGGGTACTGCCTCATGGCCTCCAGCAGCAGCAGGCGATGGCCCTCATCCATCTTGACTGGTGCACAGCCAGGCAGCTGGTGGGGAGGGGGATGGCAGTGCGCGGAGGGACAGAGGAGCACAGTACATGTATGGTTGACTCTCAAGCGTGCTGCCTCATGGCCTCTTGCAGCAGAAGGCGGGAAGCCTCGTCCATGTCGACTGGCGCACAGCCAGGCAGCTGGAAGGGTGGGGGATGGGGGGCAGTCAGTGGGGGGAAGGAGACACAGCATTGGCCCATGGCCTAGCAACAACAGCTACAAGAATGGTACACGCCCCCACCCTCCCTCCCCCCTTCTCCCTTCTCCCCTCTCCCTTCCCTCTTTCGCCTTCTCTCTCCTTCCAGTTCCCACATTTGCACATACATACATGTATGCCTGACAGCATGAGAAGAATGAGGAGGTTCTGCAAGTCAACGAAAGTCAACCGATTCTTGGAGGAAAGCCCATGGGGGATGACCTGTATAAACCATGAGCAGCACACGTATGTCTGGGGGCATACACCACATCTAGGCATACCTGTATGTCTGGGGGCATACACCACATCTAGGCATACCTGTATGTCTGGGCGCATGAGAAGAATGAGGAGGTTCTGCAGGTCAACGAGAGTCAACCGGTTCTTGGAGGAGAAATCCATGGGCGAGTTGACCTGCAGAGACCCGCCTGGCATTCACGACCATGCCACCACCATGCAACACATGCCCCACCATGCATCACATGCCGCACCATGCGCCAAATGGCATAGCGTGCATACCTCATTGCATGACATGGCGTAAACCGCCGAATGCATCACATGGCATCATCACAGTCATTCACATGGTATCACAATCATTGCATGACATGGCATCACAATCATTGCATGACATGGCATCACAATCATTGCATGACATGGCATCACAATCATTGCATGACATGGCATCACAATCATTGCATGACATGGCATCACAATCATTGCATGACATGGCATCACAAGCATTGCATGACATGGCATCACAATCATTGCATGACATGGCATCACAAGCATTGCATGACATGGCATCACAATCATTGCATGACATGGCATCACAATCAATAAAAAAACACAAATCAAAAGCATAAGCAAAGAAAGAAACACATGGGTGTGGGGGTAAACTCTGAGCTAGCTAAAAGGCTTCTGATGAGACACAGATGCCCACCTCACTCAATCCTGCACAATGACCATACCCAAGCCATCCTTGGTACCCAGAAACCATCGATTATAAGAACACCCACCTTTCTCCCATCAGCATCGACATAAGCACACCCCACCAGCCACCCCTTTACTCCCTCTATCGCTGCCACCTCTTCACTGCTGCATTTGGGCGCCAAGCAGAAACTGCCCCCTCCTGCTCAATTCACTCACCCCTTACAAGCACACCCACCTTAGTGCCATCAGCATCGATATAAGCACCGCCAACCAGCAGCCCCTTCACTCCGTGCACTGGAGGCACCTCCTCACTGCTGCATTTGGGCGCAAAGCAGAAACTGCCCTCTCCTGCTTCCGCTGTGGAGCCCACTTGGATGGGCTCACAGCTCCGATTCTCAAGAGGGGAGAGTTCGAGGGAGAGGCGGTGGGAGAGGTGGGCGGAGCGGAGCCCCAGGGAGTGCCTGGAGGGAGGGGAGGGGAGGAGGCTTCTATTGTTGGCACCTCCTCACTGCCGCACTTGGGCGCAAAGCAGAAACTGCCCTCTCCTGCTTCCGCTGTGGAGCCCACTTGGATGGGCTCACAGCTCCGATTCTCAAGAGGGGAGAGTTCGAGGGAGAGGCGGTGGGAGAGGTGGGCGGAGCGGAGCCCCAGGGAGTGCCTGGAGGGAGGGGAGGGGAGGAGGCTTCTATTGTTGGCACCTCCTCACTGCCGCACTTGGGCGCAAAGCAGAAACTGCCCTCTCCTGCTGCTGTGGAGCCCACTTGGATGGGATCACAGCTCCAATTCTCAAGAGGGGAGAGTTCGAGGGAGAGGCGGTGGGAGAGGTGGGCGGAGGGGAGTCCCAGGGAGTGCCTGGAGGAAGGAGAGGATGAATAGAGGGAAACAGAATGGGTGCGCAGTGGTTAAGTGGGGAGAGGTCGAGGGAGAGGCAGTGGGAGAGGCGGGCAGAGGGGAGACCCAGGGAGTGCCTGACGAGAGGGGAGGGGAGGAGGAAAATGGTTTCAACTCGCAAGCGAGAAAAGATTACCACACTTGAAAGCAAGTGGTGAGGCTGGAATGTCCCGAGGCATGCTTGCTTGCGAGTGGTGAGGTGGTTGTAGCAAGTGGTGAGGCTGGAATGTCCCGAGGCATGCTTGCTTGCGAGTGGTGAGGTGGTTGTAGCAAGTGGTGAGGCTGGAATGTCCCGAGGCATGCTTGCTTGCGAGTGGTGAGGTGGTTGTAGCAAGTGGTGAGGCTGGAATGTCCCGAGGCATGCTTGCTTGCGAGTGGTGAGGTGGTTGTAGCAAGTGGTGAGGCTGGAATGTCCCGAGGCATGCTTGCTTGCGAGTGGTGAGGTGATTGTAGCAAGTGGTGAGGCTGGAATGTCCCGAGGCATGCTTGCTTGCGAGTGGTGAGGTGGTTGTAGCAGGTGGTGAGGCTGGAATGTCCCGAGGCATGCTTGCTTGCGAGTGGTGAGGTGATTGTAGCAAGTGGTGAGGCTGGAATGTCCCGAGGCATGATGTAACGCTGGGATGTCTCAAGGCATGCTTTGTTTGAGGCAGCTCGTAACAACAGGGTTTGTGGGGGGATGTGTGTGGGGGGGGGGGGGGAGAAAGGTAGGTGGGGGTTGGGGGGATGGGGTTGAATCATCAGAGCCAGCAAACATTGCTTGTAGCTTACATGGCTTGATTGAGTCGCCTTTGTCCAATGAAGGCATAGAGCCTGTTGTATGCAGTGTTGTCTGACACCTGTTGAACGCACAGGGAGGGAGCATGCGCAGCACATGGCACATAGGGTGATAGAAGAGATTCATTCTTGAGATATGACTATGTGAAGTACTGAAATACGTCCTGAGGGACAACCAGTTTGCAGATTCACACCAACTTGGATTGAAGGCAGTACCAAGTGGCGCTACCTTCTGGCAATAAAGGCAGCAATGTCACATTGGGCAGGCAGATAAAGGTCAGTGGTCACATTGCCTTCTTGCAAATTCTGAAAGATCAACAGTCACATTGCATTCTTGAGGATTCTGAAAAATCAACGGTCACATTGCGTTCTTGAGAATTCTAAAAAATAA